TGCTATTTCTGGTTTTCTAGTGGTTATTTGGAGATAAGAGTGTCACAGACTTTCCTGCCTGGGCTAGCTTTGAACCAGGATCCTCAGATCTCAGACTCCTGAGTAGCTAGGATTACAGGCATGAGTCAGCAGTGCCTGACCATTGTAGATCTATCTATCTATCTATGTATCTTTGTCTGTAGTGGGGCCTGAATGCTGGGTCTCGGTGCTGTCCCTTAGCTCTTCAGCTCAAGGCTAGTACTCTACCACTTGAGCCACAGTGCCACTTCCAACTTTTTCTGCTTATGTGGTGCTGAGGAATTGAACCCAGGGCCTCATGCATGCAAGGCAAGCATTCTACCACTGAGCCACCTTCCCAGCCCCAGTTGATATTTCTTAAGACAGTGTCTTGCTGTATAGCTCAGGCTGACTTCCATCTTGCAATTATCTTCTCCTTACTTCCCAAGTGCTGGGATTATATGCAAACACCAACATATCTGTTGGTTTTTTCATTTGGACCAATTTACCATTGTAAGATAAATACTAACCTTAGGAGTAAAAATGTTTATATTAGGGGAAATCGATTGAGGATTATACAAGAACTCACTATAAGAAGGGTTCCAGTGGCTCACACCTGTAATCCTAGCTACTCAGAAGGCTGAGGACTGAGGATCACAGTTCCAAGCCAGTCTGGACAGGAAAGTCCATGAGACTTTTTATTTTTTGTCGGTTATGGGCCTTGAACTCTGGGCCTGGGCACTGTCCCTCAGCTCTTCAGCTCAAGGCTAGTGCTCCACCACTTGAATCACAGCGCCACTTCCAGTTTTCTGGTGGTTTATTGGAGATAAGAGTCTCACGGACTTTCCTGCTTGGGCTGGGTTTGAACCATGATCCTCAGATCTCAGCCTCCTGAGTAGCTAGGATTACAGGCATAAGCCACTGGTGCCCGGCTCATGAGACTCTTAAACCACCAAAAAGACAGAAGTGGTGCTGTGGCTCAAGTGGTAGAGTGCTAGCCTTGAACAAAACAAGCTCAGAGATAGCTACTGGGGGTGTGATTTGATGGTGATGGACAAGGGTCTTTTTTTTTTTTTTCTAGCCCATCTACAGTCTCTATGATTGCATGTGTAATTCATGTGATTCTCACATCGGCCATCTGCATTGGAGGCCCTCAGTAGAGGGAAGTAAAAGCAATGGTAAATACACATAGCACTTGCTGGACTTTGCAGTGTACCTTGGCTGATGTCTTCATCACAGCACAGGGAGGTGCACACGATTGCCGCCACCCATCACGGAGGGAGAAACTGTGGAAGAGACAAATTGACCTGAGGCCTTGTAAATAAGAAGAGGTGGTGCCGGTATTTGAATCCAACCAATGATTATCCAGGTTGAACAGCTCCTGCTGCCTCCTGGCTGTGCCTTAGCCACAAGTCATCTCAGGATTATTTCTTGCTGTGGTTGTGTTTTTATAACCTTCTCCAGGTCAAGGATCTGCGAGTAGCATTTTTTGTTCCTCCTAGGATCTGTTACCTCCAGACTGTCATCTAAGGACTCACTAAGGATGAGAGAAGAGAAAGGGAGAGAGAGACAAAGAGAGAGAGAGAGAGAGAGAGAGAGAGAGATGCATAGAGGGCTGGAAATGGCTACAGGTCTCAGTGTTCCTCCCTAGAGCCCATAGACCACCTGTCCACCAGCCCTACCCTTTCCTCTCTCTCCCTCTTTCCTTTTTTTTTTCTTTTGATCTGAGATCAGAACTGGAACTCAGTACCTGATGCTTTGCTCAGTTGGCTTGTGCTCTACCCACTGAACCAGAGTTTCATTCCCCTTTTCTTTTTCTTGTGTGTGTGTGTGTGTGTGTACCAGTACTAGGGTTTGAACTCAGGGCCACTGTCCCCGAGCTTTTTCACTCAAAGCTAGCACTCTACCACGTTGAGACACAGTCCCACTTCTGGTTGTCTGGTGGTTAATTGAAGATAAGAGTCTCAGGGATTTTCTTGCCTAGGCTTGCTTTGAACTGTGATCCTCAGATTTCAGCCCTCCTGAGTAGCTAGGGTTATAGATGTGAGCCACGGATGGCCAGATATTGCTTGCTTTTTTACTACCACTTGAGCCACTCCTTCACTTCTGTTTTTTTTGGCAGATTAATCTGAGATAAAAGTCTCATGGAGGGGCTGGGAATGTAGCTTAGTGGTAGAGTGCTTGCTTAGCATGTATCTTAAAGCCCTGGGTTCAATTCCTCATCACCACATAAACAAAAAAAGCTGGAAGTGGCACTGTGACTCAAGTGGTGGTAGAATACTAGCCTTGAACAAGAGAAGCTCAGGGACAGTGCTCAGGCCTTGAGTTCAAGCCCTATGATTGGCACACACACACACACACACACACACACACAAACACACACGCATGCACGCACGCACGCACACCCGCCCCACAAAAACTAACAACAAAGTATCATGGATTTCTCTGTCCAGGCTGGCTTCAAACTATGATCTTCAGATCTCAGCCTCCTGACTAGCTAGGATTATAGGCATGAAGTACTGGTGCCCAGCTTCCTTTGTCTCTTGGTTCTACCCTGAACCTGTAGTGGTTTTATGAGTTTTAGATCCAGAGGTTAGAAATCTGACTTAAATTCTGGATTTCCTTTCTATCAGCTATGTGGTCTTGGGCAGATGGCTTCATATCTCTGAGCCTCTATTATTTTTTCTGTAAAATGGGAATGAGAAAATCACTGCTATATATTGACTCCTTCACCATGCAGCAGGACTTAAACCATTGACAAATGTGGTTGAATGGTAAGAACTCTCAAGGGCTTCATAGTTGTGAGGTATTATTGCCTTATACTGACCTTTGACCTTAACATTCTTCCTCCTTGCTCACTTCTGTTACAGTGGGTGCCCTCCATCATCTGTTCTCAGATGAAAAGCCCTGAAGGATTTTCTGGTTCTTTTGTTACCTCACAGCTGACTGAACCCATGCCTGGAAAATATGAGGTACAGAGAAGTCAGTTTAATGTTTCACCCAGTTATTAGCATCATCATGCTATTATTATATTACTATGCTGCTTTTTTTTGGTGGAAGGATAGCATATCAAGAGAAAGTGTCCAAACCAAGAATGCTCAGTGGGCTACCATGCCTGCTCCTATGTAACTCCTGTAACTACCACCCAGTATAGAACTACAACATTACTAGCAGTTGGCAGCTCCCAGTGGGCCCACTTTGAACTCTCTCCCAATCACTATCATTCTTCTGCCCCATGTATTATTCTCTGCTGTCAGAGTCCAGTGCAAATCCTTGTCAAGAGGCCCAGAGCCAGGCACCGATGGCTCACACCTGTAATTCTAGCTACTTAGGAAGCTGAGATCTGAGGATCACGGTTTGAAGCTAGCTAGGACAGAAAAGTTCATGAGACTCTTTTCTCCAATTGACCAGAAAAAAGCTGAAAGTAGAGATATGGCTCAAGTGGTAGAGCACCACAACCTTTAGAGGAAAAGCTAAGGGATACTGTTTAGGCCCTGAGTTCAAGCCCAGTCCTGGCATACAAGCACAAAAAAAGGCTCAGAATTTATCTGTCAAACAGAACTAGATCCTCCCTGATGTTGAGCCTAATCCTTTTGGCCTTAATTAACTTTTCTGAAAAACGGGACAGCATTTCAGTGATTTTCACATTTCTCAGCCTAGGCTGGGGAAAGGGTTCAGTGGCAAGCAGAGTGATAGCTTAGCATGCACAAGGGCCTGGGTTCCATCCCCATGAAGAAACTAAAGTAGGGCTGGGAAGGTGGCTTAGTGGTAGAGTGCTTGCCTTGCATGCATGAGGCCCTAAGTTCAATTCCTCAGCACCACATAAGCAGACAAAGCCAGAAGTGGTGCTGTGGCTCAAGTGGGAGAGTGCTAGCCTTGAGCTGAAAAGCTGAGGGACAGTGCCCAGACCCAGAGTTCAAGCTCCATGACTGACCAAAAAAAAAAAAAGATGAAGTCATTTGTGGGGAGCCCTAATCCAATCTGACTGGCTTCCTTAGTAAAAGTGGGAATTTAGATGTAGAGACAGAGACCCAAGGGGAATTCCACATGAATATCAGAGTTACCATGTCACCTTCCAGGAATGCCAAACATTTCCAGCAAAGCACCAAGAAGGTAAGAGAAGCCACTCTAACCAAGCCATGGTTAAGGATCTCTGTCCTTCAGGACTATGAGAATATATGTTGCTTCAGCCACTCAATTTGTGGATTTTTTTTTTGTTGTTGTTGGGAGTGGGGCCTGAACTCTGGGTCTGGGCACTGTCCCTCAGCTCTTCAGCTCAAGGCTAGTGCTCTACCACTTGAGCCACAGTGCCACTTCTGGCTTTTTCTGCTTATGTGGTGCTGAGGAATCGAACCCAGGGCCTCATGCATGCAAGGCAAGCACTCTACCACTGAGCCACCTTCCCAGCCCCTGTGGTACTCTTTAATGGCAGCCCCCACAAACTAATCAACTACTAAACACACTAGCCAAAGAACTCTCTCTGCCTGTTTGCTCATCTGGAAAAAAAAACCCATAATAATAATAATATGCCAAGGTATGTTCTACCCATTTTATATAGGTTATCTCATTCACGTTGTCCCTTCCATATAGATACTATTGCCACCTCCAAATTCCAGATGAGAAAGTTGAGAAACGGAGAGGCTAAGTAACTTACTCAAGGTCACATGGTAATTAAATACAGAAGACAGAATCTTTCACGGGATTATTGGGCATCTTTTCTGTGACTACAGATGTGGATGTGAGGGCGCTTTGTAACTAGTACAGTGTTTCACGGGTGTGAGTTACACTCTGGGAATTCTGATGCCTTTTTCTCCTTTCCCCCCCATTCCTTTCCACTTCCTCTTCCCTATTCGACACTTCCTGGCCTCGCCGACAGGGGGCGCCGCCCAACGCGGGCGCTGACAGGTCTCTCTAGCCCTCTGCGCCGGCTGCTCTCTGGTGCCTATAAATGACAGCGCCGGGCTCAGCGCGGACATCAGTCGGCTGCCGCGGGGGCCGGGGCCTGGCCGGGGTTGGATCGGGACCTGGAGCTGGCTGGGAAGGAGCTGCCGCTGGCCCGGGGCGGAGCGCAGCAGCGCCGCGCCGCGCGGGGGTCGCAAGGAGGGGCGCGTTGCTGCTGGCCCACCGTGAGCCGCCCCCAGCCCGCACCGAGGCCCCTTCCCGCCGGGCCGCCTGCCTCTGCCTTCCGCCTCCCTCCATTTCCCCGGAATCCCAGCCCGGCGCGCCTGGACCCCGGCTGTCCTCTGGGTGGGGAAGCTTCTGGCCTCTTTCCCGCTTCTCCCCGTCCTCTCAGACTGGGCTTCCAACTCCGTCTCCTTGTCTTGGACTGGGTCTCACCCCCTCCGATTTCCTTCCTTTAGCTCAGTTTCCCTATCCCTTCTCTTAGCCGGGTCCCAGCCCCTCAGTCACTTTCCCCAGCCAGAGGTCCTGCCCTTCCTTCTTCTTTCCCCTTGCTGCAGGGTCCAGCCTGGTCTGTCCCTTCTGTTCCCGGGGTGCAGTCTTCCCCTGTTCCTCTCGCCCAGGTTTGGACTTTCAGGTCCTGTTGGTTTTCCTCTATGGTCCTTCCTAGGTCCTTGTCCCTCTTGTTCGGTTTGGAGTTGCAGATTGCCACCCTCACCTGCTTTCAGACTGCTTCCATGAAAATACCTCTCTAAACCATGAGCTTTTCCTAGACACTGCCCCAGTCTCTTCTTCCCACCTGGCTGACCCCTATGTCCCAGGTCTCACTCTCACTTCATTAAAGGTTGTGGCCTCCTGGGCTAAGGGACCAGGCACCATGCCTAGGGGGCTTTCTCCACCTCGGATCTTCACCTTGCTGGTGGTGTTCTCCTTGGTGGAGCTGCTACCTGTTCTCAGGAGCCATGGCCTCCAGCTCAGCCCAGCGACACCTGAGCGCTCAATAGGAGATGTCACCACTGCCCCACCAGAGGTACCCCATCACCCAGAGAGCCATCCTGTTAACCATTCTGTCCCCGACCATGGCATAAAGCCGCGAAAGGCCTTTCCAGTTCTGGGCATTGACTACACACATGTGCGGAGACCCTTTGAGATCGCCCTCTGGATTCTGCTGGCCTGCCTCATGAAGATAGGTAAGTCCAATATCTTTGATGCTATCTACTGTTGATGCTTCTGCCATCACCAAGATAGGTGAGCTTCTTGCCTGTCTCTTACCATTTGAGGCTGCCTTGGATTTAAGGTCTGAGCTACTTCGGTAATGTAGGCATCCTCCACCCTGCCATCTTGGTCTTCAAACTCTAGCTCTGTGGTCTGAGGCCTCCTAAACTTGGAGGTGGGAGAGAAGGTGAGAGGACAGGACTGGAAGATAGACACCAGGTACCTTCATCAAGGCTTTCAGGCCTGGCAGGTCACCTCTGGCTGGGACAGATGCAGAGGGGAGCCAGGCACTTCGTTGTGTGTGAGACAGAAGGTTGTCTTCTAGCAAGTGATACTTTTCTGCTTTGTCAACAGTAACCCATGCAGTTTATTACCTGCTTCTTGGGCATGCTTTCAGAATGGAGTGTGTGTCTATTTGGCTTGTCTGAGGAGTTTGGGTAGAGCAGGGGCCTGGGTGCTAGAGACTTTGAAGAGCTGGTGGACTGTGTGAGAGGTCTCACCTTCCTTCATTTTCAGGATGTTACCTACCAACGTGGCCTGTTCAGGCTGTCTAGAAGCTCCTCAATCAATTTTTGGACCAAGAATACTATTCTTCAGTTTTCAGGTGTGCTTTGGGCTAGCAGGAAAGTAAAGGAAGATAAGACTTTGTCTGACACCCCCCCACCTCCAGCTCACACAAAGTTAGAACCTGAGTTTCAAGTAGTTACCTGGTCTGACCACTGACATTGGCTACTAATTCAAGTAAGAGAGGTGTGGAGAGAAGTCCTAGAGGCATTTTGGTCTGAAGAGACTTTGAAGTGTTCTTTTTGGGAGAAGAAAAATTTTTTAAAGTTGTGCCTGCTCCAAGAGTTGGGTTCCCTGCCCAACTGTTTCATTGGGCATCCTGTTCTCTTGAATGATTGGTGGGGCTTACTGGAGCTGCATAGCCCAGAAGTCCCTGGAAGTTGTGTCCAGGGTGGGGCAGGGGTTTGCATGCTGCCTTTGCTTGTTTTGGCTTACTCCCCAGCTAGCTGTAGAAGGGAAGCTGTTCCTCTCTAAACCTGAGGTTTGGGTTTGGGGAGTTTGAGACTCAGCAGGAAGCCTTGCAGCTTTCCCAAGGACATGAAGAGCCAAGTACAGGTGCCAGGGTGGTGTGAGGCGAGCTCTGGGCCATGCTGCAGGAACAAACTGGTGCCTCTGTTTTGATAGATCCAGGAGCTGGCTTCCTGGTGCAGGGCTTTGGTGCTGAGCCGGTCACTGAGCCCATGGAGCTGGGCCATCATTACCTATACCCCGATAGTAGCCAGCTTCCTGGGGAAAAAAAAAAAATGAAGGCCTGGGCAAAGGGAGCTTTATGTACGGATTCTGACATAAATGCATGACCTTGAACAGCCAGGGCCTTTTTCTGCAGGTCTTCCTAACTTGTGAAATGAGTCTTAACTGCTATTTGATCCTCTCAATTGTGTCAGGAAATCTTGTGTTTGAATTTATTATAAGATCCTGAAGTGATCATGATACATCATTTGCTTGTGTGAGACAAGTACTGTCTATAAATTGTCCCTTCCCTCCAAGCAACTCACCTCCCTACCACACCTGGCATTGAATTAGGATACCGGAGAGTGGGGTGGGGGTGGCACACACTCTGTGGAACTCAGAGATTGCTAGGGGGATAACAGACAGCATGACTATTAAAGACCCTACTCCGGACAGTTTGAAGTTTCTCCCTGCAGGCCTGATGTCTCTTTTCTAATGGGGTCAGGCTGGGCCTGGCCTGCTTTGTCACCACTACCGTGCTGTGCCCAGGACCTTGAGCAGCTAGAGAGCAGAGATGGTGTCACAGCCAGTGTATCTGTCTAGAAGTCAAGAAGACTGGTTTCTCATCTTTGCTCTCTCTGTGACCTTGGGCCAGTCTTGCTTCCCTAGCTAGCAGTTGATTTTTGTGGCCCTTTCCAGACCTGACATTTCTGCCATTCCACTCACTCTGGAAACCCTGGCAAAGTCACTCGGCCTTGGGGCTTCAGTTTTCCCATTGTAAATCAAAGAGGCTGGGCACAAGCTCCTTTGCAGTTCCGAAAGTCCATGTCTCTGGCATAGAAATGTAGTTTTCTGCCTTTTGACAGCAGAGAAGCTCTGGCACCTGAGAAGAAAATGGAGGGAATGGTGCCCAAAAGTTCATGGTAAAAGTGGAGGCCTACGTTCCCCCTTCATCTTTACAGTGTAGAATGCAGCTTCTACTCTACCATTGATGATCTTTGAGCCTCAGTTTTGTCATTCATAAAATGGGAAATAAGTCTGGGGTGTAGGTTGGTGGTAGAGCACTTGCCTAGCAATGCACAAAGCCCAGCAGAACAGGAAACAGCAGGTTGGGGAGTATTGGGAGGGTGGGATAATAATATCTAGTTGCATGGCTATGGACATGATGATGACGTAATTAATGCATTACAAATCTGACTTTGTACACGCAGGGAGTTCCCTGTGAGGGCCAGCTGCCCCTGTTACTATTTTAGCCTCCTGAAGCAAGTGTGTCTCTCTCTCTTTTCATTTTCCTCAGAGGTTGGAGGATCACAAATCCTTCAGCCCTAGGCTGCCTTGCCACCAGGTGTCCTTCCTGGGTGCTGGGTATGTTCAACTGACTTCATGCACTTGAGCTAGTTGTGGACGGAGGAGAGATGGTACTACCTGCCTTGGGGCACAGGACTAGGGGACTAAGGCCATGCTCTCTCTGTACTGTCTGACACCATCGAGCCTGAAAGTTTATTTTGGGGTCTTGCCTATTCTCTCAACACCCGAGCATGAGTAGGAGGCGGAGTCCTCATTCTGTCAGCTGTGGCAGGCAGCTGCTTTGCTTGCAAGGTACCCCTTCTTTAGGAATGGAAAGTGCTGTGTGCAGTCTTCTTCCCATTCGTAATTGTGCAGCAGTCTCAAGGAGCCCCTTGCAGAGACTGATGTGGGAGGGGCAGGGCAAAAGGGCTAACATTCTAGAGTGGTACAAATTCCGGGATGACAATAAGCAAATCACTTTCCTTTTCCTTTTCTGGGCCTTCTTTCCTTCTTCTGTATTGTGTATTGAACTCCAGATCTTGCTCTTGCTAGGCAAGCTCTTATTTATTTATTTGTCGGTCATGGGGCCTGAACTCTCTGGGCCTGGGCGCTGGCCCCCAGCTCTTCAGCTCAAGGCTAGCGCTCTACCACTTGAGCCACATCGCCACTTCTGGCTTTTTTCTTTTTGCTTATGTGGTGCTGAGGAATCGAACCCAAGGCCTCATGCATGCAAGGCAAGCGCTCTACCACTGAGCCACCTTCCCAAGCTCTTATTTATTAACTAGTGTTTTGTTGATGGCCTTCTCTGGGCCTTTTTTCTCTCTCTAGCAGACAAAGATTCTTGCTTTTCCTTGGTGAGGAAGAGCTAGTGACTTGAGGGGAGAACTGTGAGACTGTCCTTAAGCCTCTTTTTTGGGGAGGTGGTGGTGGTGTTAGTACTGGGGCTGAAACTCAGGGCCTGGGCTCTGTCCATTAGCTTTTTCACTCAAGGCTAATGCTCTAACCCTTGAGCCACAGATCCACTTCCAGCTTTTTGGTGGTAATTGGAGATAAGAGTCTCCTGAAGCCAGGTACCAGTGACTCATACTTGTAATCCTAGCTACTCAGGAGGCTGAGATGTAAGGATCATGGTGCAAAGCTAGCCCAGGCAGCAAAGCCCTCCTGTGAGACTCTTCTCTTTTTTTTCTTCCCTTCCCTTTCTTCTTTTCCTTTCCTCCTTTTCTCTTCTTTCCTTTCCTTTTCTGCCTGCCTTCCTCCCTCTCTCTTCCTTCCTCCCCCCTTCCTTCCTTCCTTCCTTCCTTCCTTCCTTCCTTCCTTCCTTCCTTCCTGCCTTGCTTCCTTCCTTCCTTCCGCCAGGCCTAGGGCTTGAACTCAGTGCCTGGGCTCTGTCTACTTGAGCCACAGCACCACTTCAAGCCTTTTCTGTTTTTGTGGTACTGAGGAGGAGTCCAACCCAGGGCTTCATGCTTGCTAGGCTAAGGAGGCACTCTACCACTGAGTCCCATTCCCAGCCTCTGTGAGACTCTTATGTCTAATAAACTACACAGAAAAAGCCAGAAGTGGCGCTGTGACTCAAGTGGTAGAGTGCTAGTCTTGAGCACAAAGAGGCTAGGGGACAGGGCCCAGGCCCAGAGGTCAAGCCCCAGAACTGGCAAAAAAAAAAGTCTCCTGGGCTGACTTTGAACCTCGATCCTCAGATCTCAGCCTCAGGAGTAGCTAGAATTACAGGTATGAGCCACCACGTTCCTAAGCTTTAGGGGTAGGGCCTTTCCCCCTTTCCTGCACCCTGTGGTTTGGCTCCTTCATGAATTCTGCTTTGTCCCAGTTCACCTGACTCCCAGGCAGGTGCTGTTCCCAGGGAGGTACCTAGCTCACCACTGGCAGCACCGCTCTGCTTTGCCCATATTCCTGACATGGAACTCCTGGCCGAGGCCCAGGAGCCTATAAAGAGAGTATTCATCTTGTCTCCTGTCAAGGAACCCTAAAAAGGCTTCTTTTGTCCTTTTATATCTTATAGCTTCTTGGTTTTGGTCTTTACAAGGCATATCCTGTCATTTCCTCCTTAGAGCAAGTATATGAGTAGGGGAAGTGGGGATGTTATTGCTTGCTTCACACGTGCTCATAGGGGTCTTAGCAACTGGTTTCCTGTAAAAATGGCATTAGAAAAAGTGTCCGAGTCTCCCACTTGTCCAAGGGGAGGAATAACTGTGTATAGGTCACCTTGAAACTCCTAAGAAGTCTAGGTGGGACTCTAAAAAGAAAGAGATAGCCTTTTTTCTTTGAGAAAACAGTTGCCTGTCTATAGGATAGCCAGGGAGGGGCAGGGGTGGGGTTGGGGGGGGGGAGGGCGGTCAGTCAGGACCAGGGAGGAAGGCATCAGGGAGGGCATTTGATTTGTCTTCAGGACTGCCAGCACACTTGGAGGGCCTGGCTGGTCAGATGGCCTGGATTTCAT